TTTAAATATAGGAGTACACATCTGTGGGCTTGTGTTAACACACCAGTGAAGTGTTTAAATGAGTCAACACAGACCTACTTTTATGTCTGCTGGATTTTTATTGTAGAAGATGCCATCTTTACAAACCTCCTAATTTGCTTTCACGCAGCTGCACAATGTATATTAAAGCAAAAGACATAAAACTAATAGCTACTGCATGATGCAAACTATGAAAATAGGATCCGATCGAGCCAAACGAACGTTGGCGTTGCAATGTATTAGTGAATTCTATACCACAGTAGTGTATGCAAGTGGCCACTGCAACTGACTACAGTCAAGCAAATTAATCCAACAGAAACAGAATAAAAGTTAAACAAGCTTTATGCAAAAAAATCATTATGGGGGCTTTTGCTGCCTTTAACTCCAGATAGAAGTAAACAAAATGTAATATAAAGCTTCAGTGGAGAGCAAGAGATTCAGCCTTCTTCTCAACATTTTGTATTTCTTTAATTATGGTACCCAGATACACAATAGGACCTACAATTCCTATAATCTGGAACAGTTTATATGGCAGAATGAGAAATCTTGAAGTAATTTCCATTTGTTTTTCAGCATTATATCTGTGCTTAACTATCTATTCCCAAAATATATTTGCTGTGAGAGAGAAGCTAAAGAAAGAAAAAAATTAGGACAAGGCTGCTGCAACAGATTTGTCTCAAGTGCATACTTTTGCTACACACACATGCATACATGCACCTACTGCAGGTCAACATTCTATACAGTATGAAACAAACGTGTGCTGCAATGCTAATTGATTATTTATCCCTCTGCACCTAACATTTTTGCCTCCTATCAGCAGATTTTTTCCTGGTTACTAATTCTCCCTTTAAAGCACTTGCAAGTTTAACAGTTACCATTCAAAAACAACTTCAAAGCTAGTTCTTAAGAACAGTGCTTTACATAATTGCTATAAGCATTTATTTGATCGACTTAAAGCTGTCAAGAAAGTATTCATAAAGACACAGAACACTTATACCATGTTGATTTCTACAATTTTCTTCACTATTCTTTGGCTTAAAGATGCATAACTCTCAGCTCTTTCCTTACTGGGCTAGTGGCTCATTTAAATAAAGCTTGCTTAACTACATTTTTTTTTCTTCCAGATTTGGGATTTATGTTCATGAGCTTTCTAATTTATCCCCTCAAGATTTAAGAATTGCTTTGCATGAAACTATGCTTCCAAGTTATAATATTTCAGCACTCTTCACCAAGGAATGTTAAACATTTTGGCCACTTGAATAGGTGACCAGTCCATTTTCAAACAATTTGGGAGTTAAGGGACTCATGCTTGAAACCAACTGCAAACAATAGATTATTGTGTATACAGGAACAAAGAAAGACTATAGTAAATTCCCCACCCATGTACTTATTCGCTACACCGATACTGACTTGGACTCTTAATACATTCCATGGGTGGCGTACCTGAGCCCACTTATCCACTGACACTCTAAAAACTCCCGCACCCCAATCTGGGTCTGTGCTGGTTATGTGATATGTATGTATCTCTGCATCCTTGTAACCGATACCGGTAATCCCTCATAACTCAAGCCTGACCCCAGATGTACAGTACCTTCCCTCTTAACTTGTGTATATTTAATTTTAAACATTAACTTTAATAAAACTTTTAAATCAGTTCTCCAAACATTTCAGCTCATTTCATTTGTTAACAGAGACTTATTTACCTGAAGCAATATTAATGATTTCTTTAACAATGGCTTCCTGAGCCTCTTCATACTCTTCTCTGCTTTTTATGTAGTCTTCATTGAAGGAGCTCAATTTACTGTGAACAAAATCACAATATTCAAGTTGATGTTCTCTCAGTCTGTACTACTGTTTGCTACAATACATCACTTTGTTTTTTCAGTTAACGGCAACTTGTTAACTGTGTTCTACTTGGGGAGGACAATCCAAAAATCAAGATGCAGAACATCTAAGGTTATGTTGGTCTGAACAAATGGATTAGAGTTTAGACTACAGTCCAACAGAAGATCTTAAGCTGTGACCTTAAGCAGCTGTTTAATGTGTCTGTACACAGCTATTTTAAAAATCTAGCAATGTATCTGTTTGCTGTGTGAGTGTGAGAGAGAGAGAGAGAGAGAGAGAGAAAGAGAGAGAGGAGAATGGATTTATTTATTTTTTTAAAGGACAGAATCAGAGCTGAACTGTGGCTACCCTATAAAGAACTGTGATGTGTGGAAGATCTGATGGGGGGAAACTAGACACTGAGCAGTTAAATGATTTGCCCAAACACGTACAGAGGTCCATATTAGAGCTGTGCACACTTGAAGAAAGCAATGTATACTATGATAAGTCTACCTTTTTCATTCATAAAGTCTCAAGTAGCTACTGCACATTATGAACAATTCATAGTCCTCAAATAAGGTGGGTTTAGATGGATGTGTGATGCTGGCAGATCAGGTGACAGCTCATTCCAAGGCCCCTAGGCCTTAACTGAACATTGACAAATGCATAGCTGGAAACCAGTCTGGCTCACCTGTATGTTAGCATTGTTACAACAGGTATTAGGTTTATGAAAACATGTTTAGTGTTGGACTTTATGAAATGCTTGTAAATTGCTGCATGCAGTAATCTCACATATCTGCATCCCATGTTATAAGGTAATATTTACGTATTTGCTCTGAAACTGTAAACCCCCAGAGTCAAGAAAAAGCACTAGCATGTACTAAATACTAGTTCACCACAGGAAGTATTATTTCCTGTCCAAGAAAAGAAGGCCCATAGACATCAGACAAACCATTCTGGAACATCAAAGGACAAGACTTCATTGATTGCTCCCCCCCCCACACCTAGAAGAAGAGATGTGCATGGGGACTTGTCCCATCAGCTTGAACTCTGGGGGAAGGGAATAAAAATCCCTGATAGGAAGAAACTGCATCTCTTCACTGCTTGGACTTGGAACGTGCAAGATTTCTAAGCATATGCAAGGGATCCCCAGTGCTTGGCCTGGGTAACCCTAGAGGACTTATAGAGCTTGCATATTATAGCACTTCCATTACACACACACAAATGAGTTAATCTTAGGTTCCAAAGGGTATGTTTACTTGCTCTAACCTTGTAAATAACTTATTTCTTTTCTTAGTTAATACATTTTTAATTAATTTATTATAGAACTAGCTACAATTGTTGTCCTTGGTGTAGGACCTAAAGTGCAACTGACCTGGGGTAAGTGAATATTGTGATTTTTGATACAAGGGACCATCTATCACAACGGCAAGCTTATCTGGGTGGCAAGATAGATTGGAGTACCCAAGGGAACTGTCTGACTTCACGTTAAGGCTACTGCAGTGCATGAGGAGTTCACACTTGGTACTTAGTTGGTGAAATCTAAGTATAGAACTCTCAACCGATTTGGGATGTGTGCCCTCCTCCTCAACAGTTTTCCCTGAGGTTGGTGCTCATGCTCCTGAGCCTCTCCAAGCAGCTTCACAACATGATGTTCAAGAGACTGTTTAAACAAATATATATCTATATACACCTCTAAGCTACCTTTTAATCTCCGCTCTCCGGGTTAGGTTCTATGGGGCCGTATACGAAAGTTTGCACTGTGACTGTGCCTATTCCATGAATAGAGGTAATTCAGCTCCATGACTGTCAACTCAGTCTATTTGAGTGCCTTTATTCACAACAAAGATGTTACAAAAAAGTTAAGTTTTTCTAAGGGATTCTTTGACTTACTTATAAATATAAATCCTCTATGAGGATGTTTTCACTTATTAAATTTAGCATCTTCCATAGCTGATTAACAGTATTTAACATCAATTTTGGATTGTGAAGTAAAACAAGATTTAAAACAACTAAGAGCACAAAAGATAACTGCTTTACATTTTAGGGATGTTTTGAAGAACATTATAATCTTTCAATCAAATTAATGTTTATTCCCTCATTCTTGTTTTGGTCATCTACACAAATATACAAAACAAACTAAGCCAGCATATTTGGAAAGGCCAAGACACAAGAAAATTAATTAAGCAAAATATCCTGGAGAACAGAAAGGATTACCTCAAATAGCTGCATATAAAACTATAATTAGCTGTTTTCTACAACAGCCTGCAGAATGCCTTCACTGTAGCTGTCACTATGGACAATTGCAGCCAAAACATCCAACAGAAATGGACTGAAATCAAAGCAGCAAAAATATCTGGCAGAGTACAGGGGGAATGCTAGCAGTGTGGTAGTGACAGCGATGCCTGCACCAGCACTCCCTTCCCTCATGCCCATCTCAACAACATTTCAGTCTGTGAGCAAAATGATTACACAGAAGAGGGGGAAACCAAGCAATTCAATATGTAAATATGCTACTCCTGGGGGCATTCTGAGCCAAAAAATTTAAAATTCTGCAGATTTTGTCAAAACAACACTACATAATCACACCAGTTTCAATTATTTTGGTAATTTATTCCAAAATACCTGTCAGCAAGTATGTCCATAACAATACAGACACACACAAAAATTCCCCCAGCAGTTAGGCTGACCAGATAGCAAGTGTCAAAAATCGGGACAGGAGGTGGGGGGTAATAGGTGCCTATGTGAGAAAAAGACCCAAAAAAGGGACTGTCCCTATAAAATCGGGACATCTAGTCACCCTTCCAGGAGTAGAGTTAAAGAAACTCCTATGACACCCAGTTCCTGTTTCTCTTCCCTCTTCCCCCTGACCCAGAGCCCAGGTGGGGGGCCAGACACACACAGCCCTCCCCCCCGAGCCTAGCCACAGTGCCCCCCCCAGCCAATACACCCAAACCCATTTCCCACCCCAGAGCCCAGCTGCAGCCCCGCCCCTCCCCTCCCCCCCGGCTCAGATACCCACCCCTCTCCCCGCCAAGCCCAGCTGTGGGCCCTCCCCTTGCCCTGACACCCAGTCCCCTCCCCTCCCCTCCCCTCCCCAGGACCCAGACACTCTCCCTCCCCTCCCCCCCCAGCACCCAGCCGTGGCTCCCC